CTCCTTGGATAGGTAGTTAAAAGCATGGGGAGTGGGAGGAGGGGAGGTGATAGAATTACTGCAGAGAGGAGAGAGAAGAAGAGAAGAATGGAAAAGGAAAGGGAACTAGGAAGCAGAGCGGAACTCCGAATGGAGTGACTTATCCTGCCACTATCTTACCGGATTCCTTAAATCTCAATAAAACTCTGAAAAAAGCAAACTGAGGAAAAGGTTGCAGTGAAAATGTGTAGTTGGATTATCTATCAAAAAAGGATGTTGTGCCCAGGCTCAATAGAAGATTAGTGGCAGTGTGCAAATGTTTTGTTTTCTCAGACTTTGTGATTGTTTACCATTGTTTATATTCAAAAGTCTAGTAGCAGCTCCAGCACAGTCATCAATTACACCAGTATTCAGTTATACATGAGGACATAATTGGATAGTGCTTTAGGTATTGTGATGCATTATATGGAGTTGTACTTATTTTTCCTAATCAACCTGTTCAGAGATGTTATTATGCACTTCTGAAGCATGTGGGAGTTGAACCTGGGCCCTCCAGTCCAAAGGCACTATCATTGTGCCACAAGAGGGCCCAAAATTATCTGGCAACTTTTCAAATGAATTTAATAGCACACAGCAACATCATTGCCATAAAACTGCTGAATGTAAGGTAGAAATAACCCAAACCAGAGGCAATAAAATGGTCAATAAATCCAACAAGGAATTCGGGAGAACTATCGTTACACAGAAACTAGTTAAAATGTGGAACTCCTTATCATATAGAGTGGTTGATATCAATATCATAGGTGCCTATAAACTAGATACATAGATGAGGGAGAAAGGCATGGAAGGATATTTTCATAGGGTTAGATCAAATAGGGTAGCAGGCGACTCTTAGACCAGTTGACTAAATGAGCTGTGACTATGACAGGGAGTCAGATAGCTCAGTTGCCTGGATGGTTGGTTTACAGAGTAGAGTGATAGCAACAGCATGGGTTCAATCCCCAAGCCAGGTGAAGATACCACAAAGGGTTATACTTCTCAACCTCTACTTCACCTGAGGCATGGTAACCCTTGTGTTAATGGAAGAGAGCAGCCCTTTATCTGGTAAGAATATGGTTTTAAAAACATGTAAATTCTATGGAACAGCACATGTTCAAATAAAGGTCTATCTTATTATATACTGAAGAAAGTTAATCATCTGATTATTGATCATATATCAGAAACATCCCCTCATCACTGTATCAATTTGAACCATAAAATTTGTTTTTACTTGTTCATAAGATACAGGCATCTCTGGCTGTTACAGTATTTATTGCTCATCCCTGATTGTCACCTAACTGCCATTTGGGAATGACATTACATTGAGTCTGAAATCACACGTATGTAGACCAGGTAAGACAGCAATTTTCCTTCCTTAAAGCATATCAGTGAACCAGATGAGTTTTTACAATTACTGGACAATGGACGTTGTATCATCACCATCAGATTAGCTTTATATCCCAGATTTTTATTAAATTCAAATTTTCCCTTCTGCCATGGTGGAATTCAAATCCACATTCCCAGAACATTACCTACAGTTCTGGATTACTAATTTAGTACCAGTACCATCAAATCACCACCTCCCCATTACAACATATCCTGTACATCCATTATATCTAATATACCTTGTTCTTCTAAATACAAGGAACAAGTAGCTTGCCTACTTTACAGCCAAAATCTGCCTCCTGGTGGCCACAAATATATTTTCCACATTAAGATGTTATCATCAATATCTTCATTACATTAATGGAAACATCAGAATATAATTTACTTGATTATTTTTAAATTCGATTTCCTATAGATTTTATTAGTCCAGATTTTTCCAGGTATTCTGTTAAATGGGACCTTCCCTCCTAATCTTCTCCTCCATGCCTGAAGACTGCCCTACCATTCAACCGCAACCATCTCTTCCGATGCCTGGCTGTGGACAATCATTCAGCCACAACTTTTTACTGTTATTTTCCAGTTCTGGATGCAACAGTTTACAAAGCATGTGATGGAATTAGATGGAGTACAGAAAATATTCACAAAAATGATTCCAGGGATGAGGAATTTCAGTTTTGTCAAATAATTGGAGAAGTTTCGCCAAAAGCTGGATAATGGGATTAGTGTATTCAGACCTTTATTGCCCAGCATGAACACAGAGGAATGAATGGCCTCCTTCTGCACTGTAAACAAGTATAAGTCTATGAGAAGATGAGATCAAGGTGAAATTTGTTAGAGGTATACAACAACGAGGGGTCTGGGCAGGGTAGGTAGGGAGAAGCTATTCCCAAAGTAGTCCAAGGGTCAAGAACCAGAGGGCAGAGATTCAACATAATTTGCCAAAGAAGCAGGGGCAACATGAGAAAAAGTCTTTATTGATAGAGTCATACAGCACGGAGATAAGTCCTTCGGCCCGACTTGACCTTGTCTACCAGGTTTCCTAAACTGAATTAGTCCCATTTGCCTGTGTTTGGTCCATATCCTTCTAAGCCTTTCCTATCCATGTACCTGTCCAAATGTCTTTTAAATGTTGTAATTGTACCTGCCTTTACCACTTCATCTGGCAGTTTGTTCCATACACACAGCATCCTGTGTGAAAATGTTGCCCCTCAGGTCTCTTTTAAATCTTTCCCGCCTCTCACCTTAAACCTGTGCCCTCTAGTTTTGGACTCCCCTTCTCTTCTCTTCTGTCTCAGTGGAATATATAGTGTGACTGATGCAATTCGAAGTCAACAAGTATGAGGTGATGTTATGCAATAAATTGTAGTTACAAGTGAGTGGGACCAACCTGAAGTAAAAGAGGGATTTAGGGACAGAGGCTCTCGGGGTTGAAAAAAGCTGGTAAAACAGATTATTGAATTTCATTATGAACAAACAAAAACTGAAAAAAATTGACTTCATAGATGCTGCCTGACTTGCCAAACAACAGAAAACACTTCAGGCCAATGACCAATTAGAACTAAAGAAAAAAGAAATGTCAGCGTTTCGAAGTCAGTTGGGGAGGTGGGGGGAAGCAGGCACAAAGAAAGGAGATGGTCCACAACAGGGTGGAGACCAAATAATAAACAATCTCATGATGCAACTGTTATTGAATATACTGATTGAGAGTAGGGTGAAGGCAGTAACAATAGGAGGTATTCAACAGAGAATTCAATCATCATCTGTATTGGGAAAGGATGTCCAAGACTACTGTGCAAAGTGGCACTAGGTGAGTTGATCCTATAGAGGATTATTATTAGACATGATGAGTCAAAGGGCTGCCTTCTATGCTGTAACCATTCTAGGATCCTGTTTAGTGAACACCTCTTTGAACCATTTCACATCAACCTTCCTGAAACGTAGATGAGGCTCTGGGAGTTGCCTGGGACCACTCCATGTCTCATACTGGCAAATTAACAGTATTTTCCAAATTCTCAGCTTCTGGTTTATTGGGCAAATTTCTTTACCAGTTTTGAATAGGAGCAACCAATTTATTGTCCAATTTTATTTACTTTTAGCACGGACAATGTACAAAGGTACAAGTTATTTTATTATGTACAACATCTCTTCTATGACCAAATCTACAAATCCACATTTGAGGCAACAAAATTTGAAGTTTGAGGAATGCTAACAGAAGTCCAAATAGCATTTGCAAATATCAGGCATTAGCAATCTAGTCTGCAAATTCCAGATAACTCCATTGTTTCTTATATAGATTTTCCTGGTTGTGCTGTCTGAATTGGAAAGGTCTGATTTATGCATTGTCATTTCATTCATGAACTACTCCTGTTATATCCAAAACTTAAAACATATGTAGATTTTGAACTATGATTCATTCAAATCAGTTTAATTGTAATCTGTTAAATCTCACAAATTCACAATGAGATGGACATGAAGACTAAAAGCTTGGATATTCCTCAGATGCATTATATTGTTTTTTCAGGAAATATTCATAATGGATGTTCAAATTCTAATGGCAATAGTAAATCTTTACTTATGCAACATGCAACAGTGATGGACTCCATTTACTGTAGAACAAAATGATATTAAAGTGAGAAAAATTGGCTCCTCAACTTATTGTTTGGAATACGTGCAAAGTACTAACACCAGGGGGCATAATAGTTTTGGAATTTTACAAAAATTTAATTTTTCATTTATGATTGGCTTTGTTGAAATCAGAAAGTAAAACAGCAAATGGTTTAAAAGTGAACAGGAAGATTCAATTTTAAAATCATAAACCAGCATAAAACTTTGTTTCTTTCACCTGAAATTACAAAAACTTGTTATTAATAGGTGTGAAAATACCACTTTAAATTAAATATGAAGTCAACTGTTTAGATGCTCAAAATATTTATTTTGCTTGGAAAATAAACCTCTAACAATTTTGTTTTAGTAAAATGACAGGAGCTGAAATTTTCTCATATCCACTGGATTAAGCCATCCAAAAAGTGAACTGCATCACATAAGCAGTGCAACAATACTGGAGAGAGAAAGTAATAACATTAATTCAGGAGGTCACTCTCTTGTAGACATCTATTCTGAACTGATTCTCAGCTTTCACGTAGCAAGTATTCTAACCTCAGAAAAGGGGTTTCTATCTCAACCAAAAAAGTAAATATACAACCAGATTTATATGCTACTTCCAACAAATGCATTCTAGCATTGTTTTCATTTTCATGATGAAAACTAGAACTATTGCCTCAACATGTAGCTAAAGGTCATCCAAAAGACTGACAAGTCACTGAATGGATTTGTAAAGTAACGTCACAGAAAAGAGAGAAGGATCTGCTTCAAAACAGACAAAAATACAACAGAAAATGCAGAATTTGTGATGACTGCAAATCTAAAGCAATTGCCCATGACTCTCACAATTGCTGACAAAGCAGATTTCACGATTCTCAGGTTTTATTTCAGAGTTCCAGCAATCAATCAAATTAAAAAAACAGAAATTGCTGGAGAAACTCAGCAGGTCTAGGAGTATCAGTGGAGAGAAAATAGATTTAACGTTCTGTGCTGAAGGGATCACTGGACTCAAAGTGCTAACTGTTTCCTCTTCACAGATACTGCAAGACCACTGAGTTTCTTCAGCAATTTCTATTTTTTGCATGTTCAAGAGCTCCAGAATCCATTGTTTTTTTTTGTTTTATTCCAGCAATCAAGCCTCTGTAATGTTTTTGGAACAAAAGTAATACCTAAATATAAAGTACTGCAGATTCTGGAAATCTGAAACAAAGTGCTGGAGAAACTCGGTAGGCTCTGCAACATCTGTAGAGATAAAGCAGAGTTAACATTTTGAGTCCAGTGAACCTTTTTCAGAACTGAGAGCAGATGAAAAATGGAGGCATTTATGCTGATGACGAGGGCAGAGGGTTGCTATGTGGTGAAGGGGTGATCTGAATAAATGAAGATAATAACCAGAGAGAGACAGAGACAGAGGGAAGCAAAGGGATTATTGATGGTAAACTGGAGAGAAGTAAATGCTGAATGGGCACTAATAAGAAATATGAACATGTTGCCCGTGCTGGGAGCAACCCATACAAAACAGGACCTGTGGGTGGTAAAATCCTCACTTTGATGTTTATGTCCCTTTCAGTAGGACTGAAGATATATCTAAATTACAAAAGTTGATATGTAGACTTCTTTTCAGTTTTTGAATTTAAGATTAACAAATACCGAAAATAACATACTGGAGAGAGAAAAGCACAGGAATATGTCCACTTATGCTTTTTTAAAACAAAACATTCAAGTCTTGAGAATGCAACATTTTACGACAAACATTAGCTGCATGTTGAAGTGCATCTTTTCCCTCAGGAAAACAAAACTCATACCTTTCTCACTAGTCCTACTCTGTTCATTGGCATATCTGATATAATGAGTTTACCAATAGTTGCTTACGGCTACCTGAGGATTAGCTATACATTCAAATTCCCAGTAGTCATACTTTGGCCAGGTGTCAATTATGGAAATAAAAGTAGAATCAGAACAAGAAGTTAGCACTGAAAATACTATTGCATTCTTACAGTAATTCTATAAATTTCAGTTTATTCAGTAGAGTAACAATTAAACAATGGACAATGCTCGCTATATCAGATCATAGTAATAATTTCTTGCATTCTCCAGAGGAATATACAATGTTTCAAAACAAAAATTTAATAAAATATATCAGAAAAGTCAATCAAGTGTTACAAAACTTCCTTTATGCCAGGATTCTAAAAGAGGTTCACTTGAAGGTGCGTGAATCAGATGTACTGAAGCCATGGCATTTGTTCATCCCTGTTAGAAAGATAAATAAATACTTCAGTTAAATGCACCTTACACTCATTACTTTTAAGACAATAAAACACAATTCAGGATGGAACAGTGGGTCGATTTCTTGGAAATGGATTTGCATTGATAAGTTAACACACTGTGATATGCCAATTTTAGTTGCAGCTTTGGGGAGCTTGCAAATGGAAGGCAGGTAAATTTACAAAAATGAATCAACACGATCATCACCACATGGCCACAGACAAGTTTCCCCACAACCAATGGAATGGGAAAGTACAGTAATACCAAAGAAAGTTTTAGAAGTAGAAGAGGCAAATTTCCTTCCCATTCTGCTTAGATGTAGGAGTTTCACATGGAAAATAAACACAATTAAACTGAGCTGGGAGAACAGCAAGTCTGTAATAAAGAATGGTTTTCTGTCCATTCATTCAGAGGAGAGGAAAAACACATGCGCCTTCTGTGACAGTCCAATTTTGGTTTAATGCTAATGTGATTTTCCCACCATCCCCATATGTCCAAGAGCAATGTTTGTCACAGGGTTTCTCTTCAAACCCGCAGTCATCACGGAATGTATGTACTGTAAGAACTGTAAGGCAGAGAGTAAAATAGGCAATAAAATGTTCATGTCACACAAAATGGGATTAGTTAACATAATAAAACTAAAATGTACTGAGGTGCATTAATACTTAGCAAAATATTGTTTTTGTCTATCCTTCAGGTCAATGCTTATTAAACTTTTTTTTTGCTACAACAAATAACTTAAAATTGTACATATCTTAAAGGCTGACAACTGCAATCCTGCACAGCCATAACATGCTGTGATTGCATAATGTGGAGAGTGGATAACAATTGGTGGCACTGATTAACTGAATTCCTGCCACTATCTTTCCCTGCTGGGAGCTGAGGAATTAACATTCATGAAAACAATTTGCATAAATATCAAATTCCAATCCCTTGAGCAGCAATAGCAAGAGCGAGAGTTGGGCAAATTCAAAAATCAGATTCTCAACGCACAGGAAAGAATTTCCAATTTTTGCCTTAAGGTTTAAACAGCGAGTTCAAAATCTCGCTAACAAGTGATGACTACCTCATTTGCATTCCAGCTTTGGGTGGAGTTTACACTTTCTCCCCACGTCTGCGTGGGTCTGCACGGGTCTGCACTGGGTGCTCCGGCATCCTCCAACAGTCCAAAAGTTAGGTGGATTGACCATGCCACATTGTCCCGTAGTGTCCAGTGATATGCAGGCTAGGTGGACAAGCCATGGCAAATGTGGTGTTACGGGGATTGGTGGGGGTGGGGTTGTATGCAATGCTCTTTGGAGGATCCGAGAGACTTGATGGGATGAATGGCCTCTTCTGCTCTAAGGATTCTATGATTATTAGATAAATTCAACTCATTTATATAAGCGATTTGGATGAGAATGTAAGTAGCATGGTTAATAAGTTTACAGATGACACCAAAATTGAAGCAGACAGTGAAGGAAAGGTTATCTGAGAGTACAACAGGATCTTGATCAACTGGGCCAGTGGGCCAAGAAATGGCAGATGGAGTTTAATTCAGATAAATATGAGGTGTTGCATTTTGGCAAGGCAAATGAGGGCAGGACTTACTCAGTTAATGATAGGACCCTGGGGAGTGTTTTTGAACAGAGAGACCAAGAGGTTCAAGTACATTGTTCCTTAAAAGTCCTGTCACAGGTAGACTGGGTGGTGAGAAAGGCATTTGGCATGCTTGCCTTCAATCAATCAAAGCACTGAGTATAGGAGTTGGGGCATCATGTTACAGCTGTACAAGACCTTGGTAAGGCCACATTTGGCGTACTACGTACAATTCTTGTTTCCCTGCTACGTGAAGGATGTTATTAAACAGGAAAGGGTGCAAAGAAGATTTACAAGGGTTTTACTGAGACTGGAGGGTTTGAATTATAAAGGACAGGCTGGATAGGCTGGGACACTTTTTCCATGAGCATAGGAGGCTGAGGGGTAACCTTATAAAGATTTATAAAATCAAGAGGGGCATAGATAAGGTGAGTAGTCAAGGGCTTTTCCTCAGGGTAGGGAAGTCCAAAACTAAACAGTATAGGTTGAAGGTGAGAGGAGAAAGATTTAAAAAAGGACCTGAGGGAAGTGGTAAAGGCAGGTACAATTACAAAATTTAAGACGACATTTGGACAGGTATACGGATAGGAAAACTTTAGGGGGATATGGGCCACATGCAGGCAAATGGGACTAGTTTAATTTAGGAAACTTGGTTGGCATGGATGAGTTGGATTGAAGGGCGTGTTTCCGTGCTGTATGACTATTTCTATGCAGCTCCCAGTTCTCCTCTCCCTCTGTTGCTTTCACCCTTGCCTAGGAATTCTGCCATAAGTAACTCACCTCCCATCCCTTCAATTCCTATACACCATCTACAAAGGCACAAATCAGGAATATAATGGAATGCAGTGCATTTACAAGGATGAGTGCAGCTCCAATAACACGAAAGAATCTCAACACCATCCAGGACAAAGCAGCTCATTTGATCGCAATAGCACCACATGCACCATTTTTAACATTCATTCCCTTCACCACTGAAGTACAGTGGCAGCAGTGTGTATCATATACAAGATGAACAGCAGGAACTCACCAAGGTTCTCTGATTGAGGACACTTGTTAGGAAATTGCTATCAGCGAGAAGGAGAAGGGAAGCAGATGCATTGGAACACCACCACCTGCAAATTCCCCTCCAAGCCACACACTTGACTTGATGGAACTATATCAATGTTCCTTCACTCTCGCTAGGTCAAAATCTTGGAACTGCAATATCAAACAATGCTGTGGATGTCCCTACACCCCAAAGACTGCAATGAATCAAGATGGCAGCTCATCACCACCTTCTCCAGGGCGACTGGGGACGTGCAATAAAATTCTCGCCTAGCCTGTGATGCCCACACCTTAAAAGTACTTTAAAAAAAAAAATTGAGTGCCAATTCCTGATGTGAAGCTCAGAACGGTTAGCTGGCAGCTGCAGCTCTCTGCTTATTCGCCCAGTCCTTCAGAAAACTCCAACTTTGCCACAAGGTCCCTGCACACTCCAATGGCACAGTACTTTTCCACTCTTTGTCTACACAAGTCAGAATCCACAATCCTTCTCACCGCATCATTATGGCGGAATTTGGACAACCATTTCAGGCCTCAAAGACATGTGTCACTGTGTAGGGATACACATCTCATACATCTACATAGGATGCATCTTACGGCTCTTAGCTTAATTTCTTAGCATTTACTCTGCGGCTTGCATTGCTTTTTAGTGAAAAGAAAGAGCTGGCACAGTTCGGACCAGTGAACAGTCAAGGAGATGCACATGTTGCCGCATGGCACCATGCTACGTCAATGTCATACCTTCAGCATAATGCCAGTAGCTTATATGGCAAACATACTGCATGTGCTTCAACCAAATGACCATGTCAAAAAGTAAATGGGGATTACTCCTTAGCAGCATCAAGAGGGACAACAGTCAGTCAGGTGGTATCGCAGCACTCAATCAAGGGGCTTGTCCTTTTCCAGTCCAGGGTATTGCCACACAGTCAGTCAGGCACTTGGTCCTACCTGAGTCAAGGGATCCATGTCCTTGCAGTCCAGGAACTGGGCCACAATCAGTCCTGCAGGTCAAGTGCAAACAGTCCAAGGATTAGGGGTAGGTCAGTCAGGGTGCTGTGGACATCAGTCTGGGGACTTCGCAGTCAGTCCTGTTCTACCAATTTATTGTATTGGGGAGGGCCATTGTCAGTCCTGGGGATTTGGGCGATAATGGTTAGGTCTCATCAGGGGACAGTCCGTAGAGTCCTCAAGAAAGTGCAAAGCTTACATCTGGCGTTGGTGTTCATTGGACTGGATCACTGCAGGAATTATTGCAACAAAAAGGGGGCAATTCAAATCAGAAGGGTGGGATTTTATATGGAGGAAATGGGAAACTAGAGAAGGGAGTTTTCACAGGTGACAATCATTGTGGCCTCAACATGGGGAGAGTGTATGGTCAACAAGGATATGGCAATTCCCAAAGCTATAGCACTTGGGATAAATTAGGAACATCATGAGGTCTATAAAGGGATGAAGTGAAACAGCAAGTGGCTGAAAAGCCACTACAGACACAGGGACAACAACTCAAGAGGAAACATGGAAGATTGGGGCATTATTTCTGAATCAGGTGGAGTCTGCAAGCCATCCGAGAGAACAGAAACATTGCCATCAATCTAAAGTTAACTGCTCAATAAGGAGACAAACAGCAGCTGCTACATGCAGACTGGGCGCAGTAGGCAACTGATTATTTTTTTCTTTTGGGGGTGAAGTATAATTCTTTGAATTTGAAGCTCCACTAGGGGCAAATACATTGATCATCACTGATTCAGTAATGCCACCCATCCACCATCAAACTGCAAAGCATTGGTAGGCCATTACTTTTGCAATTAACATTAAACATTTATAGACTCAAGCAATCATGACCATTACAGGGTTTGCACAATTGTGTCTTTGTCATGTCAGATACCAAGACTACTCAGACGCTAAATTTAAAGTCTCAGCTGGGTTTACCAGTTCTGAAACACATTTTACATCTGCTACTGGAAGGCAACACTTTGGAGCTGCTGCATTTATGCACTTTACTGTAAGTAGGAAAGACATGATCTGTAACATTCAAGGTTAGCTTTTCATGAGAAGGAGTTTGATCATAATGGGTTAATGCCAGAATTTCACTCTTCCCCATATAGCATTAGCACTTTGGATTTGGATAGCATTATAAATCTCAGAACTCCTTATCAAGGCATGATAATAGCCTCCTCAAAATCTTCAAATTGCTAAGAACTAAGACACAATACAACACAATTATCCATCAGGGCCTTAGTGGAACAGTCCATAGGTCCTATTAAGGTGTTGTTTCAATGCCTGGGCTGTCTCAACAAGGCCTTGCAGTATAGCTTAAAGGGTACACGAGCATCACTATGGCATGCCGAGATCTTCCACACTGGAACCGACAAAGGCATGTGTGCTCGATGCAGAGGAAATGAGGCTCTACAGCAACCTTTTGAAGATGAAGTTGAGGATCAGGACATTGACTGGGAGGGACATCCAAGACAGTATCATAGACCCATGCAGTGTCGAGTGAGAGATGCCAGTCAGAGCCTCATTGAATCGCACCTCCAGCAGAAATGAGCTAGGTTTGGCCTACCTTTAATTGTGCATTTATTGTTTGGTTATACAGCAAATAATCTCTGGGTCAGTCCGATGTCTGTGTGCAACTGTTTTTTTTTTGCCATAGTACTGAACTTTTCAATTATTAAATAAATGTTTTCTCATCCAAATAATTAAATATCTTGCATCTTTGGGAGATCCCACATATCCACACTTTACAGGTCCTACTCACCATTAAGGGGAAAGCAGCAGAAAGTGAGACAGGGTATTAATGTCACATGGTGTTAAAGTTTGGATACTTCTCAGGTCTCAGTCAGCATGTGGTTTGGCTACAGTCATCAACATCACAGTTCAAAGATCCCTAATAGCTGATACTACCTACAGTGAAGGAGTCTGTCGTTTGAGAGAGATGAGCAAAGCTTGGTCATTACAACTTCTTTCACCCTTCTAATGTCAGAAACAGCTGCTCATCTCTCAAATGGGTGAGGCTTCATCAGATTTGACAGTGTTAAAGGCACCAGAGCAGTCACTAAGAATTCAAGGCAACATTTAACCACAAAAGAAGTGTAAGGTTATTTAACTAGAGAAATCACCCATGTCTCAGTATGATTTTTTTTCTTCATTTCCCTCCCAATACATCTTTGTGTAGTCGTGACTTCCACAGCTGGGGTACTGGAAGCCTGCTCTGTAGATGGCCTTTTTGGCATGGAGGAATTGGCAGGTCACGAGCTGGAGCAGTTGGGTCTAGAGCACGCAAACCTGCTGAGAGTGTGCTGCATGGATGCAGGTTCATTCAGCTTGGCTTGGATACCTGCTGTCCTCACTATCACAACCGGAGAGGAGATGGGGGGCGCCAGGCACCTTTCCAGTGTCCTGAGAGGAGGCCTCCTATGCAATGTGTGTTCAGGTCTTCCCTCCCTATGGGAGAGTGCTGGCACCAACCTGTGAGAAAGGGGTACCTGGAGTGAGAATGAGATCACTCATCCCCATTTTAACCTTACCATCGACGCTGAGTGCCTATGGTTGGAGAATGGAGTATAGATCCCCACCGAGTGTCTGCAGCTGGCTGTCCATGGGGGCAGCACATCGTAACCAGCATGGTACTGGTCATTTTGATGGATTCCTCCAGCTTCCAATCCAATCCAGCGACTGCTTCTGACAAACCACTCTCCCATTCCCATGCTCATCTGTACATTTTGACAAAATTATTAAGAGTCAAGACCAGGCGATCATCCTCTGGCAGGGGCTGAGCAGGTTCCTGGTCTCAGGCAGTCCTCCAAGTGTCATTTCTCTCCCAACCAGTTACGAACATGTGATACACTCAGCAGATTGTGCTGCTGACTGTAATCTAGGTTAAGAACCCACGGTGATGAAAGTGTCTGAGAGTTGAATGTCTTCCTCTTCAAAAGGTGGAGGGAGAACGGAGGGTCTCCAGTGTTGGCCTCTTTCTGGCAGCAGTTTGCTAGTGCCTGCACTAGAGAATAGGGGGAATTAGTTATAGAAAAAGGGATAAATGCTTGTGTAGGTTAAACTATGAGAGAATAAGAAAATGAGAGAATGTGGGTGGTAATGGGAGAGCAATGCAGCACAGCACATGAAGCTTGCCTTTGGAGGTCTCTGTGTCTCCATGTGAGCAGTTGTGCTCTTCTCTGGCCATATCGAACATCTTTTCCTCATATGGGGTGAGAGGCCTTATGTACCCCTTTACACACCCTCCCTAAACCCACCCTCCCACTAACCTTCACCCCTTCAGGCTGTTTGAGGCATTTTTACCCGCAATGAGATAAAAGGAGGGTCAATGTGATGGAACTAGATGCAGGATCCATTTGTGGTGATGCAGGAGCAGGGGAGATGATAAGATGTCCCCAGTGCACAAGTAGGAAGCGCAGCGAGCAGAACGAATTGGCCAAGAGCCATTCATTGGAAATGGTGTATGTAATACTGAAAGCCTTGGTGGAAAGGTGTGTGACAGTCAGAGTTAGTGGTGACTCTGTGGGTGGGATGCAGCAGAGAGAGAAAATGGTGGCCTTTACCCTTGCGGAGCATTGGAGATCATGTACCTTCTTTCTGAGCTGCTGTGCAATTCTATTAATCCGCAGATACAGCGCTCATCAGACTGCTATCTTGGTCCAGGCTAGTTGAGTCTCGTGGCACAGCTTCTTTTGTCAGTCAGCAGGAGAAAGAATGGGCCTCCTCTCCACCATCCCTTCGAAGTCCCTGTCCACAGAGTGGTGAGCTAACTTGCCTTTTACTGAGCCACTTCCTCAGGGAAAACAGTGGAATGCCACATTACGAAGGCCAGTTCCTGGTTTGCAGCACCTGAAATGCCATGGAGCTGAAGTTTAAATCTGGTGCCAGTGATGAGAACGTTTCAAAAGTCATAATGCAATGAGTACCTCTGCCTCTCCCGCCATATGATTTCACAAGATGGGTGCAGAAAAGACCAGTTGCATAATTCACGAGATGAAGAATGGAAGATTGCCTGAGAAAAGTCAGCACGAGCCATGGTGGACAGGGCACAATGAATCTCACTCAAAAAAGTACACCTTGCCAAATAATAGGAAAATTCAGCCAAAGGAAACATCTGCACAGTTAATTCCACGCATCATCCCATTTCCACAAAAATAGCATTTCACTACTAGTGTAAAATGAAATATTAATCTCATTTTACAAAATCTTTTACAGGCTTTGAGGTTAATGAACAATTTTCAAAACATAACTCTAAAACTAGCCTGTCCACCATCTACAAGGCACAAGTCAGGAGTGTGATGGAATACTCCCCACTTGCCCGGATGAGTGCAGACCCAACACTCAAGAAACTTGACATCATCCAGGATAAAGCAGCCCGCTTGATTGGCACTACGTCCACAAATATCCACTCCCTCCGCCTCCGACGCTCAGTAGCAGCAGTGTGTACTATCTACAAGATGCACGGCAGAAATTCACCAAAAATCCTCAGACAGCACCTTCCAAACCCACGACCACTTCCATTTAGAAAGACAAGGACAGCAGATATATGGGAACACCTCCACCTCCAAGTTCCCCTCCAAGCAACTCACCATACTGACTTGGAATATATTGCCATTCCTTCACTGTTGCTGGATCAAAATCCTGGAATTCCCTCCCTAGTGGCTTTGTCGGTCAACCCACAGGAGGACTGCAGTGGTTCAAGAAGGCAGCTCACCACCTTCTCAAGGGCAACTAAGGTCGGACAATAAACGCTGGCCAACCAGCGATGCCCACATCCCACAATTGAATGGAAAAGAAAATTTAGCTTTACTCTTTTTTTAAAAAATTATACAAGAGGCAAGTAGTACAAATGAACCATTTCCATGGATTCAATACAACAGGTTGTGGATAACAATTTTTGACATCTTTTTACATAAATACTGATCACTTGTACATTTTCTGATGCTGGCTTATGATGCCATAGTAAACTTTTTTAAAAAAAAAATCTTCTTTCCACATGTCTTTCAAAACTTTCTCAATTTATTTCCTGTTACAACTGAATGGTCATTTTGAAGTGCATCAGATATGAAGTGAAAAATATTCAAAGATTCTGTGTTGAGATAGAAACCCAAATACTAACAGCCGGGAGAATGGTTTTGGTTTGTTCCTCACAAAATGATTTTATTTTTATGCTGCTACAGTTTTCCAGTTTGAAGGCATATACAAGATTCTTATGCTCTCTAAACTCTCCCTCAGTTGTTCGATTTTTCACCCATTCAGTCATTGAACAGAAGCTGTGCTTTGCAATACATAGATTGGCACTAGATGAACTGAATTTAAACTGCAGGATTCAGAAACATGATGGGTGCAGTCGGGGCAAGAGAGAGAGGGAGTGAAACAAAACATTTTTGTTTCAACTGTTCTTTAAACACATGGCAAAAAATATAATTTTATGCAAACATTCTTAATGCATCCTTGAGTTATGAACTTCAAAGTGCACAAATCTCCCTGAATATTATTATATTTGGTATCTCAACTGCATATTAATTTTCTAATATTGAGAAGCAAAATAAATGTTTCAGAGTGAGCTTCTGCAGTAAATTTAAAAGTTTAGAGAATTTGTCAAGATTTTATAACGATAGACAAAGTGTTACGGCCCTTATTTCGTTAAAACCAGGGAAAAAAATCTCACATTGATAGAAGAAAAGTCTCATTAAACCCAGATCTTTATTAAAAGTGACATACTGAGCTTCATGTTTTGATATGGTCTTTCCTGAGGCCAGAACTTCAGCCACCTGGGCTACCACAGGATCATAGTTCAAACTGGCAACTGCAACCACCTTATCCTCTCTGAAAACAGAATCACAATATTACAATTAGAAATCACAATTCCAAGTTCAATTTCTTTAATTAGATCTTTTTTCTTTTTAAATATGTTCACAGCAAAACGTACTTGATATAAAATGCCACAAACTTCAGTTCATCCTTGTTGCCTTGAATTATAACTTCTTCAAAACCTGCACTGTAACCTGCCAAAATAGAAAATGTTAAGTAAACTTAAAAATTGATTGTCTTGTTGCTGTGTTGGAGAGTAATTCTGTACTGTCCGGAAACAAACTTTACAAAATGGATTTAGAATGGTTACAGCACAGAATCATAGAATCCCTAAAATGGAGAAGCAGGCCATTTGGTCCATCAAGTCCGCACTGCTCCTCTGAACAGCAACCCACCTAGACCCATGACTAATCCACCCAACTTGCACATCCCCGGACACTATGGGCAATTTAACATGGCCAATCCACAGAACCTGCACATCTTTGGACAGAGGGAGGTAACTGGAGGAAACCCACACAGACATGGGGAGAATGTGCAAACTCCAAGGCTGAAATCAAACCCGGGTCCCTGGCACTGTGAGGCAGCAGTGCTAACCACTGAGCCACCATACCTCCCCAGAAGGCCAACAGCCTATCCTAGCTCTCCACAAGACCCACTTAGGTAGTTAAACTCCCCCAACCTTCACCCTCACCATAAAAATAAGAGGGACCCCTAACCACCTTTGTCATATCATGAACAGAATACTTCAACAAGTTATTTAAATTCAAAATAATATTCAAACTTGGAATGAGTGCAGGTAACATTTTAAAAAAAAAAATTCTTCAGGAAGTCATAAGCTTTACAGTGATCCATGTTTTTTGGTAGTTTTAATTTGATTGTGTGCATTTGGGGCTTTGGGCATCAACAAAGACAGAAATAGCAAATACAAAAATTAATGGGGCCTGTACTTGACTTATTTTTGATGCAAGAGTTTTCAAATTACAGGACAGACAAAAATGTTATTAGAAACGGCATTTGCAAACTGAACCTAAGGTAACCAGAATTTTGTACTGTAAACAATATAATCCATAGAAACTCTCTAGACCGTACAAGTTCAGTAGTCTCACTCCACTGGGTTTTTTTTTAAAAAAGGTTTGTCATCTTACATTCCCAAATACTTCAAGAGGAGTACATTTCATTGAGTCATTCACCTGCTAATACCAGAAGTGGCCTAATGTCAGGAAGATTTTTCTATTGTCCACAGGGTGCCAGAGGTTACTTGCATCCATGTACATTTTGCTAGCCATCAACCAGAACACTATATTGCTCCATTATGTACCTACAGAATGTGTTGCTTCCTCCACTTGAAGTCTTTCTTTCATTTCATTTGTGGTTGGCACTAGCCCTACCTCTTTTGGCAAAGGCTGACCAACATGTAAGGTTCATTCTGAAGCTTTATGAAGTCCACCACTATATTTGCACTGATTTGAACTGGTTGCCAACAAGTGAAAATTTTTTCTCTAATTAGGAAATGTTTGTCTGCTTTTTCACATTACCGTCCTGGGCTGGCTTATTGCATGAGGACACAGATACGGAGACAGCTATGAATAATTATTTAAATGAGTTGACCTTGCTCAATTGTACGCAGACAGTTTGCTGCATTGTTGGCAAGTTTTGGCCCTGCAGTTTAACATGAAGAAAAACTGACTTAACATGCAGGAGAAATTGACATTGTCCAAATATCTAGAGAGCAAACTGATCTTCATTTGAGTGTGAAATTTGACTTTGACACTGTGGAAAGTAGAGATGCAGCAAATACAACATTATGGATACTCATTGAATACAGAGCACAATCTGCCTTATGGAATCCAATGTATTATCTAGTTGAGAGAGCAGGCTGACTGTAATTTATGGGAATATGATAGTTGACAGAAACTGGATAGCTGGAGATTCATTAGATACAGCACATAACCCAATTATAGGCGTTCATCCCGAGTACCATCCTACTCATGATGCAAGGCTGGTGCATCCTGAAAAGCAGCCATACTTTTGGCAATTTTACTTAAGGTTCTTCTTTCTCTCTCAGTTGAAAGAAATGATATTGCAGAAATGTTTTAGCACAATATCAGATTTTAAAAAAACTTGCAGGGTTACAGCACCTTTCATAAGTTCAGAGCACTTTGAGAGATATTAAAACTTACGTGACTGCAAAAGATTCAAAACTAATCAACCAATACCACTTATTAATAGGCATTTAAAGTATATACACAAGAAAATGCAGAAGGTTAAAAAGGCTGCTACAAGAAATACCTTGGAAACTCTCCCACTAAATTACGACTTTTTAAGAGGGTGTGAGGTATTGGAGGATGGAGGAGAGGAGAAAGGTACAGTAAGAAATTGCTAACTATCTCTCAGCTGTCATAATCTAAGGTCACAAATCACATGACACCAGATTATAGTCATTTGAAAACACAAGCTTTCGGAGCCTCGCTCCTGCTTCAAGTGTTGATTAACCTCCACATCATGTCATAATCTAAGAAAGAGGGATTTCCACTTAAAATAGCACGTTTCATGGCCTTTAAACATCCCATAATACTTCTAACCAATGAATTACTTTTAAAGTACATACACTGTTAACACTGAAAGTTCAAAAAAGTTATTTAGACAGAGTTCAGAAATATGCTTCTCGAGTCACAGGTTTTACCACACACACACACACACACACACACACACACACCTCAAATCAATTATCCCTCAATTAACATGTAATCATTATCTGTTTGCATTTGGTCTCGGGTATCCCTACCAGACCTTTCCAGTTGTTAACAGATTCTCCTTTTCTCTTTTTTGAATAAAGCTATATTATGTAGAATAATAATAAAAAACAATAAAACAAAAATGCAAAATAATATCATGCAAAATGACACCATATTATAGTCCTACTTTTAATGTACACTGAAGTTCTAAAAGTCCTTTTTCCAGTATTTCTAGCAGTTTCTTAGAGCTCGCTCCTTTGTCAGAAAAGCAATCAAACAGTTCACTGCTGATGTCGACCATTACAATTTTGAAATTTCTCCATCCTCCACTATCCATTTTAAAACTGCAATATTGATCCCCAGACATTTTACATTTTCAATTTTATTGAATTTATGTTATCCTATAGTCACTTTGCACCAATGTAGTACTCAAGTGTTGCTGTTGCATTATTTTTCATTAGGAAAAAACACTGTTTACCATCCCAAAAAGAGTGCAGATTTCTGTCTCTAAGGCATGTTTTACAGCTATTTAGATGTTTTCAGCTGGAGGTTGGTTGGCTCGCCGAGCTGGTTTGTTGTTTTGCAGACGTTTCATTACCATGCTTGGTAACATCCTCAGTGCAGCCTCCGATGAAGCGTCGGTGTGTTTTCCCGCCTGGTTTTTAAACTCTGGGGTCCGTTTAGCATGAGAATTCCTGGAAGCATGGCACTCCACGAAGCATGCTATTAATAAACACGCTGAACTCGACCCCATATACATTCCAGTATGAAGGAAAACTGGAAGTGAGGCAATCCATCTCAACGGACGCCAGAGTTTAAAAACCAGGCGGGAAAACACACCAACGTTTCATCGGAGCCTGCACTGAGGATGTTACCAAGCATGGCAACGAAACGTCTGCAAAACAACAAACCAGCTCGGCGAGCCAACCAACCTCAACACCCACAACCCGAGCTAGAGATCTACTCCAAAACCTTAATGTTTTCAGCTTCTCAAGCTAAGAATTGTAAACCCTCCTGTACTTGAGAATCCATTAAAGAGTTTACATAGAAGTATTACAAAAGCAATATTTTTCATGTTTCTGGCATCTTCCATTGATGGAAATTTCAAGGCACAATGCTCTTAAATTTTTTCAATGTTTAGCTCACCAAAATAATATCTTACACCTTGTGTTTTTTCATAGTTGTACTCGACTTTAAACCCCAAAACTATTACCTGGCCTCATTTGGGTGCCCAGACATTTCAGCAGTCCAAGTAGACTTCAGAACTCTTCCATTTCAGTTTTGGAAGCTGCTGCATCTTTCTTGAGCCCCCTACTTTGACGAATAATAATGCAAAGTGACACTTGGTCCATTCTGTCTGAATTCCAATCAATTGTACTTAAAAGCCCCAGAAGCCAGACTTCCAATTTGGCTGTCTGCTTTAAGCCCATTTATGACAATGTTTTCAAACGTCCTGCTCCCACCCCACAAAAAGTTATCCACATGCATAAAGATGCCCAAAAGCTGTGTCCCCATGCTGCCAATAAAACATGGCAGGGTCTGCTTTCAACTAGAGACAGCCCAATTTTAATAAGATGGACCTCCTCAAGCTCTAGAGGCATCATTTAGGTCATAAAACGCATTTATTTAACTTCCAGAGTATCCCCACTGCATTCAGTCCCCTCCTTTGGAAGGCAAAGGAACACTCCCTTTTTTGAGCTGATCGCTCTGCAGAAGTGCAGCATTATTATCAATTGATTTGCATTTAAGATGTTTAGGCATAAAGGAAATGAAGGTGGCGTACTGCTGAAAATAAGGGATAGGATCAGTGTATTAATGAGATAGGAAGCATGCTTAGAAATTTTGCAGATGACACCAAAATTGGTGGTATAGCGGACAGTGAGTAAGGTTATCGAAGATTACAAAGGGATCTTAATTAATTGAGCCAGTGGGGTTTAATTCAGGTAAATGCATTTTGGTAAGACAAACAGGTGCAGGACCTACAGACTTAACGGTCAGGCCCTGGGGAGTGTTGTAGAACAGAGACCTTGGGGTTCAGGTACATAACTTTGAAAAGGTGTGTCACAGGTAGACACTATGGTAAAGGTGGTGTTTGGCATGCCTGCCATCATTGCTCAAAACACTGAGTATAGGAGTGGGATGTCATGTTCGGGTTGTACAGGACGTTGGTGAGGCCACTTCTGGAGTACTGTCTACAGTTCTGGTCTCCCTGCTACAGGAAGGATATTATTAAATTGGAGAGAGTGCAGAAAAGATTTTAAAAAGGATACTACCAGGACTGGAGGGTTTGAATTAAAAGGACAGGCTGGATAAGCTGGGACATTTTTCACTGAAGCGTAAGAGGTTGAGGGGTGAACTTATAAAAGATTTGTAAAATCATGACAGGCATAGAAAAGGTGAATAGCAAAGGTCTTTTCCCTAGGGTTTAGAACTAGAGGGTATAATTTTAAGTTGAGAGGAGAAAGATTTAAAAGGGACCTGAGGGGCAATCTTTTCACACAGAAGGTGGTTCATCTGTGAAATGAATTGCCAGAGGAAATGGTAGATGAGAGTACAGTTCCAACATCTAAAAGACATTTGGACAGGTACGTTGGTAAGAGAGGTTTAGAGGGAGATGGGCCAAGTGCAGACAGATGGGACTAGCTTAGTTGGGGAAATTTGGTTGGACCAGAGTCTGCTTCCATGTTGTATGACTAATCAGAAGAGAGGAACGTAGAATTTGTTTGGGGCAGAGCTAATTAACAGTTAGGGGCAATAAACATTGGTAGGAGTGTTCAGAGAGTGGATCAATTGGTGATCATCTTCCAAAATTCTCTTAATTCTGCAATGATGCCTGCAGATTGGAAAGTTGTAAATGTAAGCCTGCTGTCTAAGAAATCAGGAAGAGAGGAACTGCAGACTGTCAGCCTGACTCAGTAGCAGGGAAAATACTAGAATCTATTAGAAAGGTTGAGATAATTGGATATTTAGAATGTAATTGTCTGATTGGGCAAAGCCAAATTGGATTTGTGACAGGCAAATCATGCTTGTTGAACTCCACAGAGATTTTTGGGGTGTTCCCAAAAGAGTTAATAACGGGAGAGACACTTGATGTAGTGTATTTGGATTTTCAGCAGTCTTGGAGTAAAGTCCCACACGGGAAATTAGTTAAAAGAATGTTAATGCACATGGGATGGGGCTAGGATACCATCTTGAAATTCAGATAGGTTAACAGGCAGAAATCAGAGAATAAATAAACAAGTTATTTACTGGTTGGCAGCCTACTGCAAGAATCAGTGCTTGGGCTCTAACTGTTCACAATCCATATCAATGAGTTGGATATGGAGGAGCACTATAATGTTTCCAAGTTTGCAACTGATATAAAACTTGGTGGGAATGTAAGTTGTGAAAAGGCTGTAAAGAGGCTTCAATACAATTTAGGCAGGCTGCATAAGTGGGCAAAAAAGATAGCAGATGAAATATAATCTGGATGTGAGAGACTATCCTCTTTGAAAGGAAGAGCAAAGGCACAAAGCATTTCTTAAATGGCAAGGGATTGCAAAGTGTTGGTCTTGAAAAGGACCTAGCTGCTCACATGCCACTGAAAGCTAGCATTCAGGTACAGCAAGCAAACTGGAAGGTACACAATATGTTTGCATTTACCACAAGAGGATTTGAGTACAGGAGTAAAGAAGTCTTGTTTCAATTGTATAGAGACTGTAACTGGAATATTGGGTACAGTTCTGGTTCCCTTGTCTGAGAAAGGATACACTTTCCAGAGAGGGAATGCAGCAGAGGTTCAGCACACTAATTTTTGGGATGATGGGATTATCTTATTAAGAGAGACTGAAGAGATGGGTCAGTATTCTCTGGAGTTTAGAAGAATGAGAGGCAATCTCCCAGAAATGCACATAATTCTTAAGAGACTAGACAGAGTAGATATAAAAAGAATGAGCCCCCTAGCTGTGGGGTCTAGAATAACATGACACAGTCTCCAAAACAAAAGGCAAACTATTTAGGACTGAGGTGACGAGGATCTTCTTCACTCAGAAGGTGGTGAATCTTTGGAATTCTCTATGCCATAGGATCATGGAACCTCATACATTAAATAAGTTCCAGGCAGAGATTGATAGATCTTTAGTTAGCAATGACATCAAGAGGTAAGGGATAACAAAGAAATAGGTCATTAAGGTAGACAATTGGCATGATCCAGATTAGTGAAGCAGCTTCCAGGGGCTGAATGGCCTACTCCTGCTTCGATGTTGCAATACTCCTATGTCCCTCCCTGATTTTATATTCACTGTTCCTTCACGTTTCTAGAGATCTGACTTGTTTTTTTTAAAATAGAAATAATTTTTTAAATGGAGTTTTAATCTTGAGTCCCCTTTTTAAATATATAAAAGAGAGATGGACACCTGGATTGATATGTCCTTAATATTTTAACGTTAGTACCTTCACCACATGGCCTGGAGAAGTTCAGGGAGGTGGCTCATCACCACCTTCTCAAGGGCAATAGTGCTGGCCATACCAGTGACACCCACATCCTGTAACCAAATAAAATAAAAGGAAGTTGTTCCCTCATAGACTAAATATTAGGAATTTCTTCAGCTTGTCTGCAGAAAGAAAAGACTTGTTCTTGTGTTGGAAAACCATTTTAATCTCAATGTGTTACGACTGAGTGGAAGACGGACAGTGTTTTAAATATAAAGAGATACGAGAAGGTAGCTGATAAGCAATTTGTACTGAAACATTAGCAGACTGCAGGAAGATTATTATCTTCAAGCAACGCAGATGACCCACTAACCTGAAGAAGCTTACTAACATTAGGAATTGGAGCTAGATTAAACCCCTTGGGGCTGTTTTAATATTCAATAATATCATGGCTGATTTTCTGCCGCAAGCTCAGCTCCACGTTTCTCATTTCCCTTGGTTCCCCGAGATCAAAGATTTTTCTACCCTATGCTTAGCACGATGGCTCAGTGGTTAGGAACTGCTGCCTCACAGCCCCAGGGACCCGGTTCGATTCCAGCCTTGAGGACTGTGTGTGGAGCTTGCACATTCTCCCCACATCTGCATGGGTTTCAGTTAGGTGCTCTGGTTTTCTCTCAGTCCAATGACGTACAGGCTCGGTGGATTGACCATTCTCAAAAAGAAAATCGTCCATAGTTTAAGGATGTGTTGGCTAGGTGGATTAGCCATGATAAACATAGGGATACAGTAGGGGACTTGGTCTGGGTGGGATGCTCTTTACAGGGTCAGTGCAGATTTGATGGACCAAAAGGTCTCCTTCCACACTGTAGAGATTCTATGATCTAAAAAAGAGATCTCTTGCAATGGAATACAAGCATGCTCTTGGGTGTGCTGCACTACTGTAATTTACAATTATTTCCATACCATCATGGATATCTGTACAGAACAATGCAACTGAGCCTCTTTTGGATGGTCCACAAGAGTTACGTAACTGTTACCTGCATATCGTAGGCTCTTCCCAAAGAAGAACGTCCAGAAGAATGGTACAGTATTGATGGCAATCTTTTTCTTTTGCATGTTGAGTGCAGCAATGTAACCTAAAAAAAGACCAAATGGGTCTTAAATGGCACAATGCAGTTTAAAAGGACAATGCCATACAACTCTACCTATGTAACCACGCATATTTTAATAGTACTTTTAAAATACTAAAATGTCTAAAAGGCACTTCACAGGAGTATTACACTCCAGAAGATGACACTCAACCACAAAGGAGATATTTGCAGCAGTTAGTTCCAGCATAGCATCCAACAATCCCACAAGGCACTGGAAGCAGGACAATTTGCGTGACCATTGGATGGAGGACAATTGGGAACCCCGCACTGCTTCTGTACAAAAGGCCCAACACAATTTTAAATGCACTCAGGATTTTTAATTGGCTGGTGTCAGGATTCACACACCATCATGGTGCCAAAGGTTAGAAATCTCATCCCGAGAACTGCCGGCTAAATCAGAGGTTGACAGCCCTCCATTACTAGCAATGTTACTGGGAGCAGTGACTACACTCAATAATGCTCCAAGGCCTCCACTACGTCAAAATTAAATCCTGGCTATGTGATGAGATGACCAAGCACTTGATTAAAGAGGAACAAAAACAAAGTTGCTGGAAAAGCTCAGCCGGTCTGGCAGCATCTGTGAAGAAGAAAACAGAGTTAACGTTCCTCAGGACTGAGTTCTGACGAAGGGACACCGGACCTGAAACGTTAACTCTGCTTTCTCCTTCACAGATGCTGCCAGACCTGCTGAGCTATTCCAGCAACTTCTGTTTTTGTTCCTGATTTACAGCATCCGCAGTTCTTTTGGTTTCTGCTTGATTAAAAAGAGATAGGTTTAAGGAGTGTCTTGAAGGAAGAAAGAGATGTAAAGGGACTAAGTGGTATAATCAGCCAATTCTTGTCACTCATGTTCCGAAATTGTGCAAGTAATTCACAGTAGCACTTTTCCAAGGATTTAGCATCAATTGAAGACCACATCATCATCCCATGGAAAAATACCTCGGAAACCACAATAGCAGTATACAAAACTGAAACAAAAATGTACATCTTATATGTTATAGGGAGCAAAGGAATACCTTCCTTTCAATGAGGATAAAAGGGTTGCATATACGCAATGGGAAACATTTATTCTAATCAACAACCTCACAGATGTCTTATAGAATCCCACCACAACGGATCGATCTGTTGGGGTAGGACAATATTTGTTATTTATCTGGCGGCTATCATTAATATAACCAGCAACTAGCATTTACCCAACTCCAGAATCTGATTTTGATCTTTCTTCTTTACATACAGCATAAATGTTTCCAAATGGAGTACATGCTGATAACCAATTTCACAATGCTACTCATGATTAAGTGCATTCCTCTAACGATGCATTTAAATAGCATTTTGAGAATAGTTCACCCTACTATAACACTGTGATATCTCATTTTCTACATTGGTTACCTATGAGAACTCCTCAAATCACAGTATCAGCTTGTGTTGAATTTTGGAGAGTTTCATGGGTTGGTCTGTCTAATAGGAACTGGGTTAAGGCTGGGCAAACATATTTTGGTTTGTACTCTGAGCCTACAGTGTGATCCATCCTATTAACATCAGATATGACTCAGCTTACTTATTTATCTACAGGGTCTACAATATTTTCTCAACACAAAAATTGACCAAATAGCCTCTTTCTCTGTGGCTAGGAAATAGTAATTAAAATAATTAAAGAAAAGTCTTCATTTCACTTTGAAATTTATAAAATTATATTTCCCTTACCTTGTTTATGAGCTAATTGCCAGTGACCAATATTAACTTTCTGGTTTTTGTGCAGTGGTAGTGGAAATGAAGTAACATCTCCAGCTGCAAATACTCCATCAACATTGGTCTCCATGTACTGAAACAAAGAACTAAACATCAAAATGGAGAATAATCACTTTCTGGGTATAATCTAAATCACATCATTATATGAAATCTGCCATAATACTCCACATCAACCAGCCTTTGTTCCAATCATATTTAACTGCCTTTTTTGGAACACAATCTAGATTCTTCAGTCCCAAATACAATGGACCATCAATTCTTTTCACTTTTTTTTTTAAAGAAAGGTGTATCATTGGTAACACTGAGTGGAATAAAGGTTAGACTTCTGAATGTTTCCAGATTGAGATTCATTACCATAAATAGAAGTAATGTAATTTTAATACAAAGTCTTTCGTCTATCTCAAAGTTACAAAACTTAATCTAAGTGAAGGTGGCATTAAAAACATGAATAATCTAGATAGTTAGAAGGTGTAGCCATTGAAATGATTTAATCCACCAGGCAAGATCAAACAGAGAAGTCTTTACAGAATCATTGAGGTGTTACAGTCAGAAGAAGGCCATTTCAATCCATCAGGTCTGAGCCACACTTTGCAACAACAATTAACCTAATTCTATTCTAGAATCACTTCCCCATCCTTCCCTCAGAGCCCAAGTCTTCCTCTGCAAATAATTATTCATTTATCTTTTGAAGGCATTTATTGAATTCACCACTATCACACTCTCAGAAAATGTTTGTTACAAATTTGAACCATTCGCTGTTAAAATATTTTTCCTCATCTTGCTATTACTAATTACACAATACATCTTGAATCAGTATCCCCTAATTCTCAATCCTGTCACCAATGAGAACAGTTTCCGCCTGTCTATGCTGTTTAGACCTTCATGATTCTAAACACTTCGATCATATCTCCTCTTAACTTTTCTTCTCCAAAGGGAGCAATCTATATTGCTGAAGTTATTCAGGCTTGAACTATTCTCATGAATTTTTCTGCACGATCTCTAATGCCTACACATCTTTCTAAAGTGCAATGCCCAGGATGGGAGAAATGAATGATTTCCAGTTATTGTTGAACCAGCATTTCCAGCAACAGTGATGGATTGCAGCCAGCACGTATTACAACAAAACAGCTGCAAATACACAGATCTGCAGAATAGGGACTGCTGAACTATTGGAGTGAATGCAACTACATTTGCAAAGTAATTAAGTTAACAAAAGAATATAAAAATTAGAAAACTTGGTCTGGTCAATGACTAAGAAACTCATCAAACCTCAGTTACAACTGAAACAGCATCCTCCAGAAAACAGAATTGCATTCTAGGGTAAATTCAGAACTCCTACACTTGAAGGAAGAACTACTGTGTGTTCTGTAGCCTTATCTTACACAAATATTCCCTTTGAATGTGATCTTCGATGATGTTACTGATTTTATCCTTACTTCTCATGGCTGATATGAAACTGAGAACTTTAGCTTCCAAGGGATAAATTTTAAAAATTAGAGGACAGATATGTGGTATCAGTTTGTAAATCAACTTAACCACAGGCACAATAATCACCTTGTGTGTGCAGCTCAGAGTCATAGAGATGTACAGCACAAACAGACCCTTCGGTCCAACCTTTCCATGCCATATCCTAAGTAAATCTAGTCCCATTTGCCAGCATTTGGCCCATATCCTTCTAAACCCTTCCTATTCATATACCCATCCAGGTGCCTTTTAAATGTTGTAATTGTACCTGCGTCTACCACTTCCTCTGGCAGCTCATTCCATACATGCACCACCCTCTGCGTGGAGAAAGTAGCCCCTTAGGTCCCTTTAAAATCTTTCCCCTCTCACCAAAAACCTAATGCCCTCTAGTTTTGGACTCCCCCAACCCTGGGGAAGAGACCTTGTCCATTTACCCTATTCATACCCCTCATGATTTTATGAAGCTCTTAGCTTCCAATGTTCCAGGAAAAATAGCCCCAGCCTATTCAGCCTCTCCCTATAGTTCAAACACTCCAACTTGCTTGGCTGACCAATGGCCAGTATTCCTCTCCTATACTGAGTTTTTCCTATTTCTCCTCTTCTCTTTTAGTTTGTCGGTGCTAAGCGTTTCATATCTCTCATCCTCGGCCTAACTTGATTTCTGTCATTATCCCAGACATGAATCCCTGCTCAGCAAATCTGCTACTTTGCTCTGCACACCACATTTCCATAAGGTCCACTTTTCATCAAATCCATCATGTTAATATGTTGATTGACCTTTCAAAGCAACAATCAAATTGTCCTATTGATGGCAAAGATCTTGATTGGAATGTTCCTCAGGGATTAGTTCTACCCATTCTATTGTTTCCAATGCAGCTTCTGCCAAATCAGCATTCACCACTTTCATCTGCATTTCCCTTCACAGCATTAATTATTTTTGCAAATAGGATCCTCACATTTCATAATGCATTCTTGCATCGAAATCATAGCACAAACTGGTCTTGGCCCTTGCTGACACCTCCCTCTTCATTATTATTTCCAACACTTGCTCCAGCATCATTAAGTCTTCCATCAGCCTCTCCCTTATTTTTCTGGCCACCCAGTCCTCTGCCATCTTACTCATTCCTCAATTTCACTGTTCTCTTTTCTTCTGTCATTTTCACCTTTTATTTTCATATGCTGTTATGTTGCTGACCATCTCCTTTGCTATCATTTCTCATAGCCTTTCCTTATTTCATTACAGTCCAAGTTATCTCTGACCATTTATCTCTTTTCACTTTCATCTACAACATTCTATTATGCCCCAACCCCCACCAATGTTCATTATGTGCCTCAAAAAACCTCTTTTCCAGCTCTCACAAAACATTCCTTGATGCTCAACTGCCTCACTTTGGTCATTCCTCCCAACTTTATACCTCATTTACTCATGACTGGCAGAGGTATAAAGTTATTTGTTGGCCAATTTTAGTGAGCAGAGAGTCATGTCCGGAATGATGTCAGAAGTCTAGTTATTTTATAAATTTAGTTGCTCCCTTAGTTACATACCTGTATTCCTATCAAATCAATCACTTCCAAAATACAGTCTGCACCTCTCAAGCCCAGGAAATACAAGTTTTACATCCATAACACACAATTTGTCTCAATTCTCAGAGCTGCGTTAGTCATGTTGAGCATTACCACAATTCCTCCCTCTCAACCAAAACCATTGACTATTGTGGGATTATCCTAAGCTTTTTTCTAAAACGTTTGCCACCTCTTTGGACATTTTCCTGTGTTACATCTTCTTTCACACGAAATCATTCGAGGAGCCGGAGTTTCTTTACAAAAAAATGAACCAGCTACACAGTTGCCTCCACAGTTTCTTCACCTCTATCCCAATCCATCCACAGCCCCTCACCTTTCGTATGACCTCTTGTCCTTAACTCTATGCCCACACCTTCTGGAATGCTTTTTTTCTCATGTCTCCAAAATTTTGTAACCCTCGTTCCCTTTCCCTCTCAATTCCAGCTCATTCATTTTCTTTCAAGTTTAAGTAGTTCCCTTGCTTCACCCATCATCGTTCTGCCCTTCAAAAATATTGCCATGATCCCTTTTTATAAAATACAATCGTGACTAGTGTGATGGTCTTCCCTTATCTAATTGCTCTCCCCTTTCTAAGGTCTGTGAAAGTCCTGCAACACTAATGCCTAATGCCAAATGCCAAAATGTCTCAAGCCCTAGCTGTCCAGCTTTATTTCATTACATAAGCACAAAAAATCCTTTTATCAAAAAATCTAATGACATACTTTGTAACTGGAATCATGTTTCTTAACTCTCGTGTTCCTGGATATTTTGGCAGCAGCAAATCGTTGCTCACAAGAACATATGAAATAGGAGCAGCTACAGGTCCTAGAGTCCATTCAATCTCATTATGACTGATCTTCTGCCTCACCTCCACTTTCTGGCCCACTGCATGTCACCCTTAATTCCCTGAGAGATCAAAGAACTGTCTAGTCATGCTATCTTCCTAATACGTTGCTGGAGCAATCATCATAAGCTATGGGGCAACTCGTGCGTTGATTATTCCCAACTCGATCATAGTTTTTCTCCTACCCTACCTTGACTTCTCTATAGTCTCCAATGAGCTATTCCTTGCCCCATTCAATTTTTGATTTATATACCAGTCTCTTAGTGATAGCATCTTCAGCCATAAAGTTAGATCAAACACGTCACCCACTCTAAACGATGCTACAGTTGTGTCCAGGACAGAGATTGACGGATGTTGTAGGAGTCTTAGAGTCATACAGCATGAAAACAGACCCTTCAGTCCAACCAGTCCACTCCGACCATGTTCCCAAACTAAACTAGTCCCACTGCCTGCACTTGGCCCTTGTCCCTCCAAACCTTTCCCATTCACAAACTTAATCATATGTTTTTTAAATGTTGTAACTGTACCTGCATCCACCACTTTCTTTGGCAGTTCATTCCACATACGAACCACTGTGTAAAAACATTGCCCCTCATGTCCTTTTTATATCTTTCTTCTCCCACCTTAAAAATACGTCACCTAATTTTGAACACCCCAACCCTTGGGAAAAGACCATTGTCATTCACCTTATTTATGCCTATCATGATTTTATAAACCTCTAAAGGTTTCAACCTCCTAAGCTCCAATGAAAAAAACTCCCAGCCTACCTAGTCAACCCCCGATTCCCAGAAATATACCGGTAAATCTTTTCTGAACCCTCTCCAGTTCAATAATTCCTTCCTATAACAGGGTGACCAGGACTGCACACAATACTCCTCACCAACATCCTGTACAACCTCAACATGATGTCCCAACTCCTATACTCAAAGGTCCGAGCAATGAAGGCAAACGTGCTGAACGCCTTCTTAATCACTCTGTGATGTGAATAGCAAAGAATTATGTACCTGACCCCCACCATCTCTGTTCTACAACACTACCCAGGGCTCTGCCATTAATTCTGTAAGACCCAACCTTGTTTGTATTACCAAAATGCAATACCTCACATTGCATTTTGGTAATACAAAAATGGCAAGGAGCCCCGCAATTTCCTTGCTAACTTCCCACAATGTCTTGGGAGACACTTGATCAGGTCTTGGAGATTCATTTACTTTTATTGAAATAATTGCACAGAGGCCAGTATCCAGTCATGAAGTCACCCTTTATTTACTTGTGCACAGTACACTGGCTGTGGCCAGCCAGCTCAGAGATTCTAAACCTCCTGTTTCTATTTCTTTTCCCCCCCATATGGAGCATCTTCAGCCTACCCATGGTGCTTTCAGCCTACCCATGGTGCTTTCAGCC